CTAAGTTGCTTCTCTCCTTGATCAGTTTCCATCCGTTGCTTCTTGTTCTGCCTTCAAGCGCCTTGGAGAATAGCTTGACTCCCTCTTCTTTGTGGCAGCCCCTGAGATATTGGAATACTGCTATCACGTACCCCCTCATCCTTCTCTTCGTTAAACTAGACATACCCAATTTTAGCAACTGTTCCTTATATGTTTTAGCCTCCAGTCCCCTAATCATCTTTGTTGCTCTTCTCTGTACTCTTTCTAGAGTCTCAGCATCTTTTTTACATCGTGGTGACCAAAACTGGATGCAGTATTCCAAGTGTGGCCTTACCAAGGCATTGTAAAGTGGTATTAATACTTCCCGTGATCTTGATTCTATCCCTCTGTTAATGCAGCCCAGCACTGTGTTGGCCTTTTTGGCAGCTGCAGCACACTGCTGGCTCATATTTAAGTGATTGTTTACTAGGACTCCGAGATCCCTCTCACAGTTACTACTATTGAGCAAGGTACCCCCTATACTATATCTGTACATTTGGTTTTTCTTGCCTAAATGTAGAACCTTGCTTTTTTCACCATTGAATTTCATTTTGTTAGATAGCGCCCAGTGTTCAAGTCTGTCCAGATCCTCCTGTATCTTAAGCCTGTCTTCTGGGGTGTTGGCTATTCCTGCCAGCTTGGTGTCATCCACAAATTTGAGGAGTTCCCCATCTATCCCCTCATCCAAATCATTGATGAAGATGTTGAAGAGCACTGGGCCTAGAACAGAGCCCTGGGGCATCCCACTACACACTTCCCTCCATGTAGATGCAGTTCCATTGAGGACCACACGCTGAGTACGGCCGGTCAGCCAACTACAAATCCATCTGGTGCTGATGCTGTCTAACCCACATTTTTCTATCTTATCGAGTAGTAGGTTGTAATCTACTTTATCAAATGCCTTACTGAAGTCCAAGTAAATTATATCCACAGCATTCCTCTGATCCACTAATTTTGTCACTTGGTCAAAGAATACAATAAGATTTGTCTGGCATGATCTGTTTTTCACAAATCCATGTTGGCTTTTAGTAATGACTTTGTTTGCCTCTAGGTGTTCGCTGATTCGTTGTTTGATTATCTTTTCCAGAATCTTCCCAGGTATTGAGATCAGGCTGATAGGTCTGTAATTTCCTGGATCCATTTTTTTTTTCCTTTTCTGAAGATGGGAACTACATCAGCTCTTTTCCAGTCCTCTGGTAGTTCCCCAGTGCTCACTTTAAAGAAAATCTTTCTAGGTATATTTAGAAAAACATTATGAACTGTAATATCAGAATTTGCATAACATGCTAAATCTAAAGCAAACAAAACACACTAATGCTTGAGATTATGCTGACTACAGAATAGGGTTTTTTGTTTGCACTGAAAATTGATGAGAATTTGTCTCCTTATTGTTTGACAGTTTGCCACAAATTTTTGCTTGTATGATTTCATGAGTCTGCAAAAATGGGTCACATGCAGTTCCCCCCTCATCAATTTTAAGTATTTCTGGTTTTAAGTGTTTGGTCTGAATTTTATATATTTCAGTTAAAGATGCAGTCAAGACAACATAAGATACTATGGCTATTTTTCAAAAGCCAAATAACTATTTCCATGAGATCTTGACAGAATCTGTATTGACAAAAAACAAACAAACTGAGAAATATCAAAAAATGGGTGCAAGGAACTGAAAATTAAACTTAAAGAGAAAACACCTCGACTAAAAACAATATTTTTGTCCTATAGCTTTTGCCAGTGAGTTTCTCTGTATATAATTTCAGGAAGCTAAAGTACATTTGTCAGTATTAAATCATGTGAGCATTATAAATCTTCAAGACAGTGAATAATTTGAAGCAACAAATTCAAGATCCAAGGCGAGATCCAATGTTCTGTTTTGGTTCTTCAGAAATTGACTGTTAGCTGCTCAAACCCTATAATTCTTTAGTCTTTTTCAATCAAGAGAAGAGGAAAAATTATTAATAAACAATATCTTTGTTATTGAAAAAGTTCTTTCTTGTCAAAATATTTCTTTAAAAATAAACTCAACCCTTCAACAGTTAACAAATTTTGCAGACAAATTAAATACTATGAAGTTACTATAAGAACTAATATAAACGCTACCATATTTTAGTTTTGTACTACATTCTTTGTATGAGAAATAGCAGCTCAGTACCCCAACTCATTCATACTATAACAGTTTTAAAAATATGTAACAAGTATAGTGATTTAAAGTTACGTCCAATCCTTCTCATTACATTGCTCATTTGGGCCACTTATTTTTTCACATTCTACTTGTGAGATGTCCATCATGAAAAAAATTCTCAGGATATATATTTTTCACAATGTGTATAAAATTGTCTTTGCCATCTTTGTCTTTTTCAAGAGCCAAACAATAAAATTCCTCAAAAATATCTATTACTACTGTATCGTGCAAAACACTTTCTTAATTTCAGGGAACATATATAAATACCTTATTCCTTGACGAAAAGTCTAGTTGTTACAGGCCAAAATCTTCTGAAGTTCAGTCAAGAATCTGGAAATATATCAAGTTTCCACTAGCACTATGAAATGTTTCAATTTAACACCTATGCCTGAAAAACTATATAACTCTTAAGTTATTAGGTGTAAGCAACCAGAGTCACTTGGGCATAAGTAAAGTCAGTAACTACTCTGTTACAAGAATCTCACCAGACTGCTTACCTTGCTCTGGGAACAAGAAGATAAGGCTTCATGGATCATAGGGGAGGTCACACACTTATGAAGTTTGTGACTGTGCAGACTCCAAGCTAGAACCCTCCTACCAGCCTCGCTGGCAATTTCCCAACATATGTTCACATAGGATCACTTCAGTTAGTTCCGGCCCCCCCGTCCCTCGTCAAATAATATCATTTTGTTTGCTCATCAATAATTTTCAAACATATTAAACTTACTCCTATGATACATCTATGTTACCTTTCTTTCTGGTCCTCTGCTCAAATTTCTTCCTATTTAGGCATAATGTGGTATCCTATCTGTTCATTATTATAAATAATTAGTAACTCTCCTAAAGACCAGTTAAATATGACTTTTTTTTAGGAATTATCCTTATAGCTGTTTTATGATTCTGAATTAATGCAGTTGCTTTTAGGCTGTCTTTTACAGGAATTGAGAATTTTGGTCATTAAAATGTTATGCAACATGTTTTTAGTTAGATTGGACATATATGAAATAATTTGTGACCAGACTACCAATAGTGTCCATATTTTATGGAAAATTCTGAAGTATTTTCTGTGATTTTAAATTGATAAAGACCATTTCATATGTAGTGTAGGTATGGTATCTTATTTATTTTCCCCCAGCATTTGAACTGTTTAAATGTAATTTTGATCTGAGAAGGCAATTAGAATCAGTGCATATAAGTATGGTTTAATGTGAAAATCATACATATTCAAAGATTTATTTAGAAATTATTTACAATGAAATGGTTGCAAAAGCTGAATGGTATAGATTTAATATAGACAGAATTCAAAGAAAAAATGACAGCACAACTGTTGTCATATTGATGTTAGCATGCTTAAAGAATTATATGCACAACTACTTTCTCCAGAAATACAAAAGCTTAAAATTACTTCCAATTTTTCCTCCCATTTTTAGCTTCTACTCACCAAAAGTAAATTACTTTAGTTCTTGATATTACCCAATTGTATTGTGCATATTCTCTAAATGTATCTTCCCTTCTACTTCTAACCATCTTTATCTAAGGAAGTACTGTATTCTATTTTATAAAACTTCAATGGCCCCAATGAATAGCTGTCTCAAGATGGATTTGAGAAGAAAGTGTATTACAACTCTGTCTTGATTAGTACAGGTAGTCGTTGACTTTCAATCACAAGTGAACCATAAATTTCTGTTGCTGAGACAATTGTTTTGCCCCATTTTATGACCTTGCCACAGTTGTTAAGTAAATCACAGCAGTTGTTAAATTAGTAACTCAATTGTTAAATGAATGTGGCTTCCCCATAGATTTTGCTTGTCAGGTCACCAAAGATGATCACATGATCCTGGGACACTGCAACCCTCAAAAAAGAGTCAGTTGCCAAGCCTCTGAATGTTGATGTGTCTATGGGGATGCTGCAATGGTCATAAGTGTGAAAAATGGTCATAAGTCACTATTTTCAGTGCTGTTGTAATTTCGAACAGTACGAAATAAACTGTTGTAAGTCAAGGATTACCTATATTATATCCATTCCAGTTTCCCATTTTAGCCTACACAGTGCTTATTTATATTATTACTAAGTAATTTAAATATATTCTTGAGAATGAAAAACTTTCTATGGAAAAACATAGCAATAGAAATGTTTTCAAGCTAATTTTCAGTTTTTTTCAAAACTCAATTATACAACTCAAATACTTTCTGCATAAAAAACTTCTTTTTATACAGAAATAAGTTTTCATTGCATCCTACTTTACTAAATAAATATATTGTATTTTTACTAATGTATTTTTCCCCTTAGAAAGTTTTTTTTATTTATGGTAATATCTAATTTTCCCTTTTTTAATAAGATGAATTCATTTCTCAAACTATACTGTACATATCCCTTTTTAAATAAAAATACTGTATTACATGCAAAGCAAAATTAAGACCAACAAATTTGAATATATTTGATTTCCAAAACACTTAGGAGAGAGGCAGGGAACTAATTGCCCCTTTATGACCTATAGACTTCAACTCCCACAATTCCTGAGTCAGCATGGCTCTCTTCTCTCATTTCAAATTTAAAAATGTTCAAGTGGTACAGTTTAAGCAGCTAAATCTCTTTCAAAGATTGTTAGTCCTGCTCACTTTCTGCTTTCAGACAAGGTGACTGGGGGGTGGAGTTTGAACCTAGCGACATCAAACTATGCTATTCAATTTATGACATTTAATTCAATGAATATACCATCTCTTCTTTTTATTTGTTCCTTGCATCAACAAGCAGTTTAATATTTGTATAAAGTAGGAAAATAAAAACAAAACACAGTATTACCTGTCTTAATCCAACAGCCAATTTCTGGATGAAGATATTCTTTTTCATGTTTGGAGGTTTATCATCTGGTGCTAAATACTTTTTATAACACCTGGTTAGTTTTATTTTTCCTTTCTAAACTACAAAATGAAGAAACAATAATGTTCAGAGTTGTAGTTTTTAAGCAAGATTATTATTGTTGCACTTAAATTATTCCTGCTTTATATTCATGATAATACATAAATAAGAAAAAAATAAGGAATACATTTGTGACTCCCATGTTTTTTCTTGACACCATCGTAAATTCAGAAAGGATCCAAATTGGAGGAAAGACATTTGTCACAAAAATGCACTGGAAATAACACTGGTGAAAATAGGGTGCGCTTTTGTGTAGTTCCCGATCATTCTGATTACATGCCATATTTTCCTGAATAGTTTGTTGTTTACTCTTGCTCCCCTTCCAAAATCTCTCTCCTTCAGCTTCCAAGTATTCCACTCTTTCCTTTTTCACAACTTCATGATACGAAAATCAACAATAGCACTAGATTGTTCTGCTTTTAACCAATCTGATATTCAACATTAGTCATTTGCTCTTGTTGTAAAATAGCTGTTCAGCATTCACTTTGCACAATTTCAAACAGACATGATCAATTATACATCCAAAAAACAGCTCAACTTCCGGTTAAAGAGTTGTAAGGACCACACTCTCCTTAAAATCATAATCACATATCTGTATATCAAAATCCAAATACATTTATTATTACTTGCAATGGATACAACATCTATGTCCTCTAGGATATTGTTCAAATTACTAGCTGTTCTCATTTCATTAACCTATACAGTAATTATATAAGCTTCATACACTATACTTGTTCATCTACATATCTCCAACATAAACATAACTTCAATCTCCTGTTGTTTTCCTAATACAAATAGTTTTTGTCTTTTTTTCCAAAACGTACACCATATATTATACGGTTCCTCAATACGTCTTTGCACTATCACGGCACGTCCCCTCCCTTTCCCCCAGATTGCGAGAAAAAAAAATACGTGGTAGACGAGGCTATGGAGGCGGCAGAAGCAGCAGCTTTATAATTTTTGTCACTCCATCGGACTTCCTATATGACACACATTTCCACCGCATCCCCTCCTGTACGGTTCTTCGCTCTATATTTTTGCCATCACCATCAGCCAGGCCCTTATAAGTATCCGACTATCACTAGCTGTCATTAACACGGAAAAACCACCTGCACGATCCGTGCTAGCTCCTTCTGTTCTTGTGATGTATTCACAACCTATTTCTTCTGAACTCATCTCCCCCGCAAACCCTCCACACCCTCCAAAACAATAACATCGCTGTCAAAAAAATTTCTACCAAAGGGGAATCCCGCAATCGAAAACGACAGCCCTACCCTGAGACTTCCACTTCACATAAACCTAGTGCTCAGACTCCTCCCCATCCACCGTCCCTCTTTCCTCTGTTGGCTCCTCCCCTCTCCCCACAGTCGCGGGGGGATGGGACGGAAAACTCGGTGCAAAGTAGTACCCCTCCCCCCTCAACTCCAAATACGTCCTGGCAGTTCCTGCGGCCCCGCTACGCACAGCCGAAGCCCCAGCCTCTTCCTTCCAGCCAGGGCCGGCGCATCGGCGGTAAAAAGCAGCCGCACCGGCACTTCCCTCTGAATAGCCGAGCTACCTCGACCCGCAATCTTTGGTTTGGTGGTTGTGTTTGCACACAGGAGAAGAAGGGACAGGCAGGCAAAGGGTCTATTCCGAAGGAATGCTTTCTCTGCCCAGACAAAAGATCTCCTAGCTCTCCTCTCAATATCCACTTTGAAAAAACGGACTCCCTTCCTTCGGCTGGACACGGAGGAAGAGGACAGCCTTCATCCCAGGGACATCTCCACCCGTGGATGCTCTTGCTGTTCCCCCCACCCCTCGCCCCAACTCGTTCAAGAAAACGCACAGCCCCTTCCTCCGCCGCCGCCCTTCATCACTCCTCCAGGTCGGGAAAGGAGACAGGAAAGGCAGCATCTCCAGCAGGGAGATCTCGTCCCTTCCCCGGCTCCAATTCTCCCCCAACCGCATACTAAACAAAGCCTCCCCCACCCAATAAAACTTCACGAAGGCCAAGCATCCAACCGGCCATCTGCTCACCTCAAACCGGCCCTTAGTGACCCCATTCATTTCCCTTCTCATGGCTGAGGCCTGGCGGAGGTCAGCTCGGGCGAGACCAAGCCAAGCCGAGCCAGGCCGGGCCAGACCTGGCCCCCCACCTCCTTGGCGCGGCGGCTTCGGTCGCTTGCTTGGCCGTCGTCCTCCCTCTTCTCCGCGGGAGGAGGATGGCGAGAGAGGAGGAGCCGTGTTCCCCCCTCCCAAGAAGGCGGCGGGGACAGGATCTCGGTGCGCGTGAGGCTGCTGGTCAGCGAGAGTTCCTTCCCGGCACGCGCGATTCCGAAGGGCGAAAATAAGGAATCCGGCCTTCCTCAAGTACAACTAATTCTTCTACCCAAAACAAAAACACGCCGCACCTGCCAGCAACAGTGCCGCTCATTGGCCGAGGACGGCGCAGACGAAAGAGGGAATATTAGACGGCGCGCGCTCCCGAGACCTGAAGCGAGCTGCCGTGGGCGCGCCTACTAAGGGGAAGAGGGTGGAGGTGTCTGTTTTTTCCTTCTGATCTCTTTGCGGTTGATGCAGCAGCAGCAGCGGCAGCTACTGCCGCTCCGTGGCAGATGCAGTTTTTTCCTCCTACAAAGTTCAGATATCGGGGATGCTCACCGACTCTATGTGATCAATAAGTTATGTGCGTGTTTCCTTCCGGGCTTACGTGCGTTAGGCATTTTCTCTGTACAGTACTTTTAATATGTACTATCTCAGTTTCATTCCGCGGTGGAGATGTAAGTGGAAGAGGACTGAAATCTGAGGTCTGGCTTTCTGATTAACTTAGTTATAAATAAAGCCACTAGTTTATTCATGAATATTAATACATAGATCAATAAAGAAGCTAGCAACAATTGGTAATTGAGCACACTAAAATTTTCCCTGGATTGTATAAGCCTAGTGTAAATGTATGGGACCCACAGAAAAATCACCATTAAAACACAGAGCACATCTGTTTGCATGTATGAACCCCCCCCCCCCAATCATGGCTCCAACTACTGTACTAGAGTGCTACAGTGGATCAGAGGCTAGGTCAATTAGCATGGGATTAATATGGAGTCATGTTTTCATTACAGATTCTCTTTGCTGGCATGCAGTGAGTCATTGCAACAATGTACTGGTATCTGAACATTTTGAGTATTAATGAGGCATTAAACTATTGTAGGAAGTCAGACTCCCCCCCCCCAGAGAAGGAAATATTTTGGGGGGATATTAAAAAGGCAGAATATTATATTTTCCCAAAGGATCTTAAAGGGAGAAAAGCAGGCTCAGTTTTTCTTAATAATCCCAAATAGAAATTGAGCAGGCCATCTCTGTAAAAACGCAGATTTGATAATCTCATTCAGGAAGAATGGGCCCAGTGCTCTTCAACGTCTTCATCAACGATTTGGACGAGGAGATAGATGGGGAAATCATCAAATTTGCAGAAGACACCAAGCTGGCAGGAATAGCCAACACTCTAGAAGACAGGCTTAGGATACAGGAGGATCTGGACAGACTTGAACACTGGGCACTAGCTAACAAAATGAAATTCAATGGTGAAAAAAATAAGGTTCTACATTTAGGCAAGAAAAACCAAATGTATAGGTATAGTATAGGGGGTACCTTGCTCAATAGTAGTAACTGTGAGAGGGATCTCAGAGTCCTAGTGGACAATCACTTAAATATGAGCCAGCAGTGTGCTGTAGCTGCCAAAAAGGCCAACACAGTGCTGGGCTGCATTACCAGAGGGATAGAATCAAGATCACATGAAGTATTAATACCACTTTACAATGCCTTGGTAAGGCCACACTTGGAATACTGCATCCAGTTTTGGTCACCACGTTATAAAAAAGATGTTGAGACTCTAGAAAGAGTACAGAGAAGAGCAACAAAGATGATTAGGGGACTGGAGGCTAAAGCGCATAAGGAAAGGTTGCTAGAATTGGGTATGTCTAGTTTAACGAAAAGAAGGACGAGGGGGGACATGATAGCAGTGTTCCAATATCTCAGGGGCTGCCACAAAGAAGAGGGAGTCAAGCTATTTTTCAAGGCGCATGAAGGCAAGACAAGAAGCAACAGATGGAAACTAATCAAGGAGAGAAGCAACCTAGAACTAAGGAGAAACTTCCTGACAGTTAGAACAATTAACCAGTGGAACAACCTGCCTCCAGAAGTGGTGAATGCTCCAACACTGGAAGTTTTTAAGAAGAGACTGGACAGCCATTTGTCTGAAATGGTATAGGGTTTCCTGCCTGAGCAGGGGGTTGGACTAGATGACCTCCAAAGTCCCTTCCAACTTTATTATTATTATTATTATTATTATTATTATTATTATTATTATTATTATTATTATTATTATTATGGATCATCGCACAGTCAGCCAGATGTTCAGACTGGATCTGGCATTTTGTCTACCTATCGAGTCCTTACCCAGGACCTGGGATAGGCAGATGTGGATGTTTGATGGTATTACAGGTATCGTCGCAGGATGGAAGCAGTTCCTAATAAGGCCGCCTTTTGCAATTGACTAATAGCAAATTTGTCAGTGCCAATGGTGTTCAAGTGGTGCTCCAGTTTTGGGATTGCACCCAAGGAGCCTATTACTATTGGTACTACCCTTGCTTGCTTTTGCCACAGTCTTTCTATTTCTATTTGTAGGTCTTTGTATTTTGTTATCTTCTCCAGTTCTTTCTCGTCTATTCTGCTGTCTCCAGGCACTGCCACGTCCACTATCCAGACTTTTTTGTCTTTCTTATCGACAATTGTTAAGTCTGGGGTGTTATGTTGCAGGTGCTTGTCTGTTTGAATTCTGAAGTCCCAGAGCAGTTTAATTTTATCATTTTCTATGACTTTCTCTATTTTATGATCCCACCAGTTTTTGCTTACAGGCAAATGATATTTTTTGCAGATCTTCCAATGCACCATTGTTGCTACTTTGTCATGCCGCTGCTTGTAGTCAGTCTGTGCAATCTTCTTGCAACAGCTTACCAGGTGGTCCCACTGTTTCTTCAGCTTCTTTGCATAGGCGGCACTTACTGTCATTATTATTATTATTATTATTATTATTATTATTATTATTATTATTATTATTATCATCATCATCATTATTATTAGACTGGGGCTAGGAACATTGGAGCTGATGGAATTAGAAAGACAATGACCCTAAAATCTACATTCCCCACCCAAAATCTAAAGACATGACCTTTAGGATATAATAGGATTAACCCATCACCAAAAGGGCACACTGAACCTCAGGTCAAAGTTCATTGCACAGGAACAGGAACAACCTCAAACAGGAACACAAAGCCCCAGAAAGGTATAAAAACCAACCCATTCCCAGCTCCATTTTGTTAGCTGCCCCAGAACTGCATGCTGTTAATGATCTGTTCTTCAATAAAGAACTTTTTCAAACAGCCTGCATTTTGTTTATTCCCGGCTTGGACTGGACCTGAAGATTTTTCTTTCAACACTATCATGAGTAGTCATAATTGTTATTTGTATCCTCATGAAAGTTCTACCAAATCACATTTTGCTTCTATCTACCTATAAAGAAATATCACAGTAATGGAGCCAACACTCTTTGCTGCATCATAGTGCAAAAAAAAAATAATATCTCATTTTACATGCAATCTATACCAAACCACAAAACTATAGACCACATCTTTCTGCATATATTGAATTCTGACAATCATGGGTCTGACAATTTTTGAACTACCTTACTCAAAACCACAGATCAGGTTAGTGAGCATCTTAACTTTGCATGAATTTTAAATAGAAGTCATATTAAAAATCAACATCAAATCACAGAGGCCATTGACCTGCATACTGTGAGCAATCAGAATTAGAAATCTAATCATTCTTAGCAGCCCAATAGTATAAAAATAAGAATCCAAGACAAAAGTCCTATTGTGTGCATAGAGTGAGCCATCACAATTGTAGATTTGACCATTTGGGCACCATAGTTGTACAAACTAAATTGGCACTAGATAAGAATTAGCACAAGTCAGCGCCAATTTAGTGCTGATCTAAGGAGAATATTTGTAACTCAGGAATGAAATGAAGGATCCTTGGTGCTCTCTGAGCTTGATTGTTTTCTTGTAGACATTTTATTACCCAAACTAGGTAACATCATCAGTACTATTCATTATCATAGTAGACTAGATTCTTGTATAGGCATGAGCAATAAATTAGCTTAACTGGAACTTTACTCGTAGTTCTAATTCTTCCCGCCTGACAGATTTACATAAAACTTCTAGACCATAGAGATAATTATTGACCTACGACCTCAATTGAGCCCAAAATTGCTGTTGTTAAGTGAGATAATTGTTAAGTAAGTTTTGCCCCTTTTTACGACTTTTATTGCCACAGTTGTTAAGTGAATCACTGCAGTTGATAAGTTAGTAACCCAGTTGTTAAGTGAATATGGCTTCTCCATTGATTTTGTGAGAAAGTCGCAAAAAGGGATCATAAGATCCAGGGACATTGCAGCTATCATAAATATGAGTCAGTTGTCAAGTATTTGAATTTTGATCATGAAATCATGGGGATGTTGCAACAGTCATAAGTACTTTTTTGCTGTTGTAATTTTGAATGGTCACTGAATGAACTGTTGTAAGTTGAGGAATACTTGTATAACATCTGTTTACATGGTATAGTCCAAAACAATCAGCTGTCCAAAAGTTTTGAGCACATTTAATGCCAGTATAACTTTGTGATAGATATTCCAGTCTCGACTGTGGTTGTAGTGAAACTATATTCAAACAGTGGGTCTGATGTCCCCAAGTGCAACACTGGATTCCCATAATTCCTGTCCTGGTGATGCCATATTCTTACCTGCTGTCTCAGTCTTCGCACCCTGCTTTTACCCATTACTCCATTCTTCTAAACTAAGCCATATCAACCAGACCATTCAAACTACCAATCAAGAGAACCAATCAGTTGTTCAGAATTTAAATGTAGCTCCAAACGAACAACCAATCACACAACCAACTGACTGCACTGGCACACAAGACATTTATAAGCTAAAGAAAATAGGAAAATAAAATCCTGCTGATGATGTTACCTAGCCTGGTAATGATACATTCAAAAATTAAATTGAAACATGCCTGGAGGCAAACCACTGCCAAAAATCAAAAACCCAAGCTACAGATATTTTCTATTATTTCACTCCTCAAAATGTCCAAATCAATACCTAAGCACCCCACTTTGTCCCCCCAAAAACCTCCCCCCTCCCCCATGCATATACGCGTTTTGTTATATCATCAAGATTCAAAAGCGAGTATAGGAAGCATGGATCCCTACGTTCCTTTTGATTTTTATAGTCAATACTTCCAAGTTTGCTGTTGAATGATAAAGTATATTTATAGCTGAAATACTTTTG